CTCAGACTCATTCAGTCTTCCTCCAGGTGCAGTTTACACTGAGGAACTGAGAAAGTTAAGATGCATGTGATCTCTCAGAGTTACTTCCTGTGGTACAGTTTGGTGACTTGCTAACTTTCAGAATATTTATATTCTTTCCCCTGCGAGGCTTTTCTTGTGGGCTTTACTAGCACAAGGCCCTTGCTTTCTTCCTACTTTTTCCAAACTCTTGTAATGGCTGTGTAGTCTTACGTTTTACTACGAGCTTTTTCATATTTTATTGTTAGTCTGGCTATGTGACTAATTTCCCTTTCAAGGTTAGATTTTTGTTCAAATATCAATTGGATGCTAGATCACACAACTGCAAATAATTGTTTTCCCATCTGATTAGTCTGTCACTTCCACTAATTTAACGCGGGTGTTGAAATGATCTACAGCTGATTACATTAAATTTTTCTTACAAACTATTTTACAGTGTTCGCCAGAAAACAAAGACTAATCAACCAGATGACCGGAAGAGTGGCTCAAAGCTGATTATTTTTGTAGTTGGAGGCATTACTTACTCTGAGATGCGTTGTGCTTATGAAGTTTCTCAAGCCTGTAAATCTTGTGAAGTTATCATTGGTAAGTGTGTCTTCAGATGTTAATACTGGAGTTGCGTTATTTCATTTTCTTACTATTTAGTCTTTTTAAAGACTAAAAGACATAGGTTAATGTCACCTTGTTGGGGTCACCTGACTTGCAGTTACCTTTCCTGCGTGGTGTAGGGGGGCTGCAATGATCTTCCAAAGTCCCTTCTGGCCTTACAATCTATGAAAGGGGAATGCTTTATAATCCCTCCCTCTGAGTGCCTGTCAGGTTTAGGATGCAACATACTATCAAGTTAGGACTGCGAAACTTTGGTCCCTGATTCAGTTTGGCCTGATTCGGTGGCTGAATCTCCAAATCCGAATTGAATCGGAGGACCCTTTAATCTCTCCAAATTGAATCAGAATCCTCTGAATCGATTTGGAAAGATTCGGACATAGACACAGCTTTTAAATGTTTTTTTCTGCATACCTCTAGGTAGCAGGGGCTTCAGTGCTGGGGTGCACGGAGTGTCCCACATAAGCATGGGGGGCTCCCCAGTGCACTCAGCAGCAGACCCAGAAGCGGAGCAGAAGCACTTCCGGGTCTGCTGAGGAGCGTTTGGTGACTGGTGCCTCCTGGAGAGGAGGCACCCAGGGTTCCCCCGCAGCCAATTGCCGAGCTGGGGGAAGTACTTCCAGTCCACTTGCGGGTTCACCGCCGGGGGTGCCCCATGCTCCCATGGGACACTCCATTTGCCCCAGCATTGCAGCGATAACGAGCCGCACCTGCTACTTCAAGGTATGTAGAAAAAACTTTAAAAGCTGTGTCTAAGGCTGATTTAAGTATTGAACCTTTAGGTTCAGATTTGGCCTAATCGAATCGGGGACAGTGATCCGAATGAACAAATCAAATAGCTGTCCCTGATTCGGGTTGAATCTGAATCCCAATCAGATAAGGTGTGTTTTGCACACCCCTGCTGTCAAGCCAGTCAAGTACAGAATACCTCCTGTTAAAGCCCATACAAGCTGGAAAAGTAGCAAGGCAACAAGTTTGGTAGTTTTGTGTTTTTTTTTTCTTTTTGTGTAGCTTTTTTTTCCTCTTTCAGATCAGTGATGGTAAGAATTTTTTGAGCAAATATTTAAAAAAATTAACTGAAACAAAACATTTTGGCAAAACTTTGTGATGGATCTTTCATCAGGAAAATTTATTGGGTCCAGGGTAAAACTTCTAGTAAAAACTAGTCCACTCTTTCAGAAAAGTCCAAGCCCCAGTCCAGAAATGGTCGATCAATCTAGGGCATGTGTTGAAGACACACGTTCAGGTCCATTCTTTTGAGTTGGTTGAAATAGAAACTTGGAAGTATTATAATCATTTGGATTGGGAGTATCTTCATTTCTTATCCCTTTGCAAACTATTTTGAAAGATCTCTCTTATTCTGATGTGAAAACCTTGAGTTTTTGCTAAAACAGATTCTGCTTTCCAACCAACCCTAGACCTGACACAATTGTTCCCCAGCCCCTTGGTAGCAGGGGGAGCACTTGCCAATGACTCATTACATTTCAAGAAACTACAGCATTGAGAACTACTGTACCTGGAGCATGAGAAGTACAGTAACCCAAAGCGCTGATATATATATTTTTTGATGATGAGTTGTATTATCTGCAAGTCAAACAACTATAATAATCCAAAGTATTATGTTTTACCAGGTTCCACACACATTTTGACACCTAAAAGACTACTGGATGATATAAAGAAAGTTAATAAACCAAAGGATATAGTCTGCATTAAGGATGAAACAAAATTGTAATGTTTCGGGTGTTGTTTCAGTGGTGCCTAACTAAAATTTATTAAGAGATCCCATAATATAAATCATATGTATATATGTTTGTTAACTTTCAAATGCTGTATTCAGGACAATACATTCTCCCAGATAACAGAATAACTTTTTATAAGCAAAATTTGCTGCTTTTGCCGTTTTGGAGACAGGGGCAGGGAGTCTAACATTTCGGTATAGGCAGCAGTTGACTAAAGTGTGTTCTGAAAAGGGCATGTTTACTACTGTAACAAATTATGCTAAATTTAGAAATTGTGTTTGTATATAGACTGTAATGATGTCTTCAAAAACTAAGAGGTTTTTTTCTATCTTGGAAACAGGAGAGTTTATTGCTGAAAATGACTGGAAGAAAAGAATCTGGCTTTATGTAGAGGTTTCAGAGGAAAATTAAATATAATGTATGTTAAGATTATTTCAGACAAGTGCAATGTCATCTAACTATGAAAGTTTTTTATGCAACGTGTACAGTAATTAACTGAAAAATATATAGTAAGAAATGTAAACACTCTCTAACGAGCATCATTTTGTGAAAACTCATAGGACAGAATATTAATCTGATATACCTATGAGACAACACAGATCTTCTGAGTGGGAGTTGTGTGGTGGGGTGAAAGTTAATATTTGACATACTACATGCTTGTTACCCTCAATAAAATACTTTGGAGAATGAAGTAAGGTTTGTATGAAACACTAAAAATATTTGATGGGATTTGACCCTACAGAATTTCATAGAAAAAAAAAAAATACCGCTGAGAGCTCAATTCTGTTTGTTTGCTCCGTGTGTGAAGTTCATGTATTTTTGTGTGTAAAGTGAATGGTCTGTTATCAGGTAATAATGCAAACTCTGTAGTGCCATTTCAAAGACATTACAGCATAAGCTGGAAAAAGTAGTATATCTCTTGCTCCTTTCTACCAAAGGATTACAAAGGGGCCTGTATCATAGTCTGTACGACATGTCTGAGCAAGATGTGGCCAACTTTAGTACTAATCTAATGTGTATTGTTTAAAAAAAAAAAAAAAAAAGTGTCCAACAGGGTGTGTCTGGATGGCTAAAACTGATTGATATAAAATTAATTGAATTGTGTTTTTAATTGTTTTACTTTTTGAAAATTGACAAATTGAGTTGGTCAAACTTACTCTTTAATATTCAGTTAAATATGTGAAAGTCTCTTCCAATGCTAATGGGTTCTGCTCTTCTAGTTGAATACAGAATCAGCAAGAAACAGCTTGATGCTTTAATCTAACTACTACTTTTTATAAATTTGACAATATCATGGACTGCATTCAGTCTTTTCAATAAAATTTTGAACACAGTGTCTGTCTTTTCATGGAGATGGCACTTAGCCGACCCTTTAAAGGATTTTTTTTTGTTTTTTAAATCCTCTACATGTTGGATAAATAACTTCAGTGTTTCTAATGGGAATTGGGCAGCTTACTTTCAAAACAGTCTCTCATAGAATTATAGGAAAATATGTCTGGAAGGGATATCAGGAGGTCACCTAGTCTACCCTTCTGCTCAAACCATCCCCAAACCATTGTTTGTTAACCTCCACTTTAAACTTTCAGTGACAGAGATCACAATGCCTCTCAAAGAAACCTGTTCTAGTGATTATCCGCTCATTGTTTAAAAAGTTCTTCCTTGCATCTAGCCTGAATATGCCTTAGTGCAGTTTCAAAGTTTGTTTCTACTAGTTCTGTCTCTCCATGGGACAAGACAATTGATTACCATCCTCTTTTTAACAACAGACTTTTATGCTTGAAGACAGTTGCTGTATCTCCCTTTCAGTCTTCTTCAGACCAGATCTCAGTTCTTCCAACTTGTTTTTATATGGCATGTCTAGACCTCTAATCAGTTGTGTTGTTTTCCTCTTAACTCTTTCCAGTTGGTCAGTGCCTTTCTTGATGTGCTACAGTTTGACTACGGCAGGATCAGGCTCTCTACTCCACACACTTCCTTGTGTAAAGATACACACCCCAATTTCCAGCTGCTAATTTGTTGGCAGGGAAAAGTGCTTGTATGCAAATAAGATAAGAAATTAAATATAATTACTGGGATATGCAAGAAGTTATGCTATAAAAAATACAAATTGTTTTCAGTATATGAATGATTATATACTCGCTTCAGCTTAGCATATAAATGGGTATTTTAGAAAAAAACAAAAACCATCCATTCAAAACAACTCCATAATTTAGGGAGATCATCCAGGAATGGGGTTTTGGTCCTGATTCGCTAACAAGTGCCAGTAGGAGGAAGAACAAGGCTGTGGTGGAGGCAACATGTAATGTCACAGGGACTGAAATATCCTGTTGTTCTAAACAAGCGATAATGGGGCTTATTTCCTCAGACCAATTCTGTTAAAAAAGAGAATACTAAGAAAATTTGTCTATATAGTCAATCAAGATATCTTTATTTAAAGCTTTGTCCTGGTTTCTCCATGTCTCCCTTCTACCCTTTCTCCCCCCCCTTCCCCCCCCCCCTCCCCCCCCCCCCCAACACGCACGCACACACTGCAGAGTGGAAGAAAACAGGGCTGTCTTTATATAATATAATTCAGGTGTCTTTCTTATGTGTCCAAGACCAGCTGCACTCAGCTCCTAGCAGGAAGAATACCAGTGCTTGAATAGCTTAAAAATGTTTATTTTGATGAGTTTTAACTTTAGCTAGATCTTCAGACACTGCTTGTACCATTCGTTCTGTAGTTTTCTTCAAGCTGTTTGCTGTCTGTATGGCATGATCCAAAGTAGAGTTTAAAATCTGTTGGAAACAAATCATAGTCAAACTGTTATAGATATTTATTTCCCTGGCAATTTAAAATATCCCTTTACATACAAAACAGAATTGTATTGTGTTAAAAAATGAGACACGACATTGTCAAATGACACCTAGGACTGTCCTGCAAACTCTGGGGGAGAAATCAGGCAGTGTGTGTTAGGGTGAAGTTTACATGCGGTGAGGCGGAGATTAGGGGAAGTTAGGGGATAGTACCGTAATCTAAACAGTAGCTCTGTGCACAACGCTATTGTTTCGTTTCGACATCTGTTTTACTGTTTCATAGGGAGAGTGTTTCGTTCAGTTTTGAAGCACTGTCCCGTTTCCTTTTGTTGAAACTGTTTCATTGTTTGATGTTTCACCTGTAGGCTATAATGGGGAATCACGAAAATGCCTACAACTTGGTAATTTCTTGCCTGATTTGAATGAACAGTACAGGGATGGTAGCCCCTTCTGGGGGCATGAAGCCTGCGAAGGAGATAGTGCAGAGGTTTTTGGGAAACTGTACCTCAAACTGGTCAAACCAACAGTATGGACACTTGCCGCCAGCATCTTGTCATGCGGTGTGTAGATCGGGGGCTTGCACCCCTGGGAGGGCTGTGGGGCTTTGCCAGACTCTTGCTGGGGATGCAGGCACCTGGATCTGTGCCCCAATGAGAGAGGGCTCAGGCTGCAGCAGTAGTCTTCTTTGGTGCTAAGTGCAGCGTGGGCCCAGCACTGGTCCCAGGTGAACCAGCAGCCTGAGCCTCCTCTCACTGGGGCTCAGGTCTGGGGACTCGCACCCCCAGGAGGACTGCCGGGCTCTGCTAGATGAGAGGGAGCTCAGGCTGCTGCCTGGGACTGGCATTGGGCACAGCCCACGCCCAGTGCTGGGGAAGACTTGCTGCTGCCACCAGCCCTAGGTGGCGGCAGCAGCAGCCTCCTGTCATCTGGCACGCAGATTTTGGGGCTCACACCCCCGGAAGGAGTCCGGCACGGCCCTGCGTGCCAGATGACGGGAGGCTGCCGCCTGGGACCAGTGCTGTAGACAAGTAAGTCTGGCTTCGAAACTTGAAACACTGAGTGCCCTTGTTTCGTTTCAAAGCCTTTTGCTTCATTTCGATTTCTTTCTGTTTTGAGTTCAAAACCTGTTGAAACAGCTTTGAAACGAAACACCTAGTGAAATTTTGCACATCCCTACTAAACAAGCCCCCAGGGCTACTTAACTATAGAGCAGGGCTGCCCAACTGGTTGCCAGCTGACCACATCCAGGCCCCAAGGGGTTAACCTGTGGCCCTTGGGCTCCCAGTTCCCCAATGGCTCCAGCTCCTGCTGCTGCCACCATTGGAAACTTTGGGCTTGGGAGGCACCTGAGGACCCCATGCGGTACAGCAGGTTCATGCCTGCCATGTGATGCTGGGGTGGAGGGCAGCATATGGCAGTGCTCAGGGCATGGGAGATCTGGTATGGTGCAGTGGACGGTGCCCATTGTGTGCAGCACAGCATGGCATGTGGTCTGGGAAGTGTGGCTCCCAGCCATTCAAAAGTTGAACAGCCTTGCTATAAGGCAATAAGCAGCTCAAGACTGCCATCATGAAGATGTGACAGCCATCTCCTGTCCCCCTAGGCTACCAGTTCTGAACAGTCCATTTTAGAAGCTAAGCAGCAGATTCTCTGCTCTGTCAGTTTTCTCTCTGTGGCTTAATGCAGAAATTATTTAGCATGCATTTGTCTTAAATGTAGTAAATTGAAACTTACTGAAGCTAAGTGAAAAGGTTGTTACGTGAGTTTTTGGCGTAGTAGGTTGGTAAATTGCATGCATTTGTATTCAAAAGCCAGTGACATTCCCCACCCCACCTTGTTGAGCAACAAGTACAACACAAGTTACGTCATAATTTGATAGTGTCTGCATGGGATTTTAAAGACTGCCACTGATGGTCAGTCTGACTTATTCCCCCAAGTTACCTAGATATCTTTGAAAATTTCACCTTAATTTTTTACCTTTGTCTTGGTATCACTGTTGTATCTATTTCCAATCACTGAATTACTACTATGACTCTTCCTGATGGCTAAATATTGAGGTGAAAGGATAACTGTATCATACATCCTTGAGTACACGGCTTTGGGAACCTCCAAGTTTTGTCTAGAACAGAAAATATGGAATATTCATACAAACGCTTTTTTTGTAGTGACCAAAACAAAATCCTATTTTTAAACAACACTACTTTAATTTTTTAAATTGTATTACTTGTTTAATAATAGCCGTATTATTGGTGTGTTACACTTATGCTATGTATACTACAATCACAGACTGGTAGTTGCTTGATGTGGGGGTAGGGAATCTGGTGTTTTATAGACAGGTATGTTCATTAGAACATCCAGTGGTGCCTCCTTTGAAAGAGAAGGCACTCAGTATTAAAAATGTTTAATTTGGAGTATGTCCAAATTATAGTAAAATCCTACTTAATATAAAATCATAGCAGGTTTCTATGAGCAGATAAAATAGAGAACCACTTATATTATCAAGGGAATTAAAAAACAAAAGACTAGACTATTACATTAAAATAAGAACTGCAACTCATTGCTACAGACATCTGTCACAACCTGGCTTGCTTGATTAGAACAAATCTATACAGTTTTTCTCCTTGTACATACTGTGCTTTCACTAGCTACAATTTTAATATGCAAAACAGAATTGTATACATGCATACAAGTGCTTTCCATGTATGCTGCATCTCTTAATAATAATTTTCTGTGGTAATATTTATAGCAATCAACTGCTATCACTTACTGTTCAGAAAGTCTGCATACAAATAGATCTGGCTGTTTGTTTCTGGAAACACTTTGGGCAGCAATTCTTTTTTTCTCTGAAAGATGAAATTTTGAGGCCGTAGTCACCAAGTAAGGTACTATAAGTCATACAGGAAACTATAGCTAATGTTTCATGTATGACAGAATAGGGTTTTGTGGGGTGGCTTTTTGGGGGGGGTGGGGAAGACTGACAGTGTAGGCAGCCAGTGAGAAGGATTTCTCTTTGGTTACCTTTCCAATGGCAACATCTGTGGGGTGGGAGTAAAAAAACATAAAAGCCCCTGTTTCCAGCCCTTCTCTGCCTTTTGCAGCTCGTTCCCTGTCAGCCACTATGTGAGACCTGCCTGCTCCTTTTTCTTGTTATAAAGGAGTGGTTAGGATTTA